CTTCCAATAATATGGAACACAACTTACAAAAGAACCTGAGTTGGCTGGAAATGAGCGCGAAAAAATGCTATTTGTGAAAGGAATGAGCATGAGACATACTACTTAGCTTTAATAAATTCGCTCTTAGATATTGAATGGGGTTTAGTTTAGATTTTTCTACTAAGCCTGCTTGAGACCTTTGGATTCATATTCGCTCTACTTCTAATCATTCCGTCGTTTGTCATTGATTGCTGTTAGAAAGTTTGTACCCACTAGGATGGTGAGCATGTTTGTGGACCTTTCTCATGTCTTCCTATAGTGAATAGGCAGTTAGAACAGTCTGTTAATACCGATGTTGTTGAACATATGACTGCTTTGGCTGTGACCGCTTTCCTTACGATTGCATAGGTGTAAGGGAGTTTTGCGTGAGATAATGTGGACATTCGTTTTAACTTTGATAACATCTATGTTGGGAATGAGGTTGCTGCAAATCACTATTTCTGCTTCACATTAAAACTTTATCTAACGTTTTCTGTGAAATATGACTACAATGAGGATGAGATATTTGGAAAAGCCTGGACCGCAAGTGTCTGCAGTGGATATCGAGCATGCTGTTATCCTTTCCGGGGTATACTGCGTTCACAACCCCGCCATGCGGGCCGTTCGTTTCGCCTTTCTCTCAAAAATCTTTTACAGGTGCTATTAGCAATCACTCATGAACGGGATTGACCTAGAGAGGACAATTCGGCATTGAATCCAGTTAAGCTGATGGTGCAGTATGTCACACTCTAATCACTTTTTATTTGCTGCGTATTGTTTTTTATAGCAGGGTGTGCCGACCCCCGCGGTGCGGAGTTTAGCAAATATCTCAGCGTCGTTGTAGTTACATTTCCCATTATACCCTGACATGGAAAAAGAATAGCCGGCAAATAAAAAGTCATTGCAGTTTAACAGTTTTTCCTCTATTCGTGGGTATTGTTTTGTGGCCCAATTTTAAGGAGACTAGTATCCATCGTATGAAAATTTTTGTTAAACTCTTTTTATAAAGAAGAAGCGCGGGGATAATTACTATTTTCGTCTACGTTCGCTGGGCTCCAATTCTAGCCATGAACTTAAATATATTATAAAGAATAATTTTGACCGGAAGATGCAGCACAGGTTGTCGTCCCTTATTCAATTGACCTAGGTGGAGTAACCTGTGACATGATTTATTGTTGGTCCACTTTTACCACTTTATTCAGTCAATTCGTTTTCTCCCATTTTTCATGCACGAAAGTCTGAGTTCGGCTTCTTTTCGAGAATTTGGCCTTCTTATTTGTCTTAGAATAACTTCAAATGGATTCTCGCTGGAGTACTGGCGTAGCTCTGCTGACGCTTTTCCAACTTTTTACCACAGGCAGTAACCCGCTTTTGTCGGTCAGAGCTAAGTCTTCTTAGATAAGTCTGGGGCTATTTTTCCGACATTGGAGTGTTTTGGAAGTCCACTGGCCCGAGTCTGGGTCATAGTCGAACCAACGAACAGACCCTGCTTGCAATATTGCATCATATCATCACACCACTGCAATCTTTGTGTTTACTATCTGCTATTTAACCTTCAGTTTTGATACTATACTGGTTTTTGCAAGGATTTTCTTTTTCGACAAAGACTTCCTCGTTTAGAGCCGCACCATGAAAAGAAATGCGTGGTTTCTCTTTTTTACTTTTTCGCTAATTAGTTGTACTATGTAGTATTATTTAGATGAAAAATTTACTAAGCTGTAGGTGACTACTATTTCAGAGCATTCTGCTCTTTAGCTCTCAATCCGAAGATTTGATCTTTTCGTCGAGGAATACCGTATCTAATTAAGATAAATTCAATCAGAATTAAAAGAACTCCACACATTACTGTAGCTTCAAGCTTCCTTGAAAATCGTATTAAACAGCGTGAGAATTGGAAAATGCTGTGCTGAGTTGAGAGGACAAAAATTGAAGAATATTTATGGATTCGCAAATCTGCCGTCGTGGGTGGCCGACGCGTACACAGAAGTGTTGCTAGAAAGCTCAGCTATGATGAATATCGATGAGAATGCAGAGGAGTCGTCATTAATTTTCCATCCGGGAATAAAAATATCGTATTCGATTCCTTTCTTTCATCTCGTGTTGCCCCGTGATGAGTTTCGCTTTTCCAGTTTTGCACCGAACGCCTCACCTGTCCGCTTACGGCACAGAAATGAACGATCATTTCGCTTGTTTTTTCTCTTTTTGAGAGATTTGAATACCTATAGTCAACTTGAAGAGACGCTAAAGAAGCTATAAATTCTTCGGATAACCTCGTTAGTCTTTTTAGACTGAAGGTCTCAATGTATCCTCTAAAGCAATAAGAGAAATCCAGGCGGCATGATGTCTGAAAAGAAGCTATAGAAAAAAAAGAACTGAGACGAGTTTTCCTTTTCGAGTCTGTTCTCATTCTTGGGTCGGTACATTCTAGCGCTCCTGTATATTCTTCTCTTGTTCAATCAGCGCTTTTTGTAGGAGAATATCCTCATTAACACGAGCAAATTTTTAAATGTTGTTCCATCTCTTATCTCACCATGTAATAATCTTGTTATTTATTTTCTCATATATTTTTGTTGTGCGTCTAATAAATGTACAAAGCTGTATTCGTTAGAGGAAATCAAGAAGAACTGAACAGCTTTCTAATCCAAGAAACAAAAAGTAGTATCTAAGTTCGTTTTTTATGAATACTAACGGCGTTATGATTACTATGTACATTTGTAGACCTCGGTGGTTCAGTGGGTAACACACGAGCCCCCAGAAGGATAATCCTAGGTTCGAAGCTGCTCACCTGAGGTTTCCAGCTTTGCTGATATCTCAGTACTCTTGTGGTTTATTCTGCAAATTACTTTCTTTTGGAGTGTTCACATACATGGATGGTTTCACACCAAACAAATTTTTCTGATTTTTGTTTTTTTTATTCATTCGTTTTTCTCTCCTGAACTTCAGTTGTCTGTTTTGCCGTGATCTCTTTTTTTCCTACTTTATAATATCGCGTATTTATTTGTATATTCTTTGTTTTATTAGACCCGTCTTTTACATGTACTGTGCGGTTCCCAGTACTTCTCACATTCGATTTGTTTCCTCGCGTGCATCATCCACGAAGATCTTTCAACCCTCATATGTGGCATCGGCTGCTGCTTAAGGATTTCCATTTCATCTTAAATATGGTAAAATGCTGGTCGAGCCAATTTTTCTTAGATTCTTGAGATAGCCGGGCTAGACTGTTCCTACTTAGATTGTAGGGAGTGATTTTTTCCCTGGCAAGTCCGATCTTAGTGAACCCGGAGCGGAATCGAATCAGTATTGAGCTCGCGATGGTCGGCATTACTACCACTGTGTTATTCGACCCCCTTATTCGTATACATGCATAATATCTGGCTTTTGATTGTTTTATCTAGACGTGTTTTTGTTTAAAGATGAATATTTAACACGATCGGAAGAAAGACAGAGAATGAGCTTAACAACTGCAGATAACCAATTCGAACACTTAAGGTGTTTAGATTTTTTTATTTGTAGAGACGACTTTGTCATACCACTCAAAGTGTATTGCAATTCTTTGTGAGATTACTTTAAAGGGCCTGTATCGTAGAGCGACAAAGGATGCCCTGTAGTACCTACATAGTTCTTGGTTCGATCCTACCCGCAGCTAACCAAACCGTCCTTCCCTTCTAAGTTGTCGAAACGAAAGCGACATAGGGATAAGGAGCACTAACTAGGTGGATTAACAGGTTGCCACAAGTCATTATATAAGCCGAATATGCGTTCAATCACATCTTGGACGCTACGAATAGCTGAGGAGCTTTTACGATATTGATTACTGCTGAATGGTTTTTCCTTCTTCACTCTAATTTCACAATCATTTAATATTCAGATTACTTAAAATGTTCGGAAAAAAGCTCGTACTCTTAAAATTTTATGCTCATGATCACTCTCGGGCATTAACTGCACTTTCGGAAACACCATCGCTTCGTTATGACTGACATCGTGGTTATTTAGTCTCTTAGCTGGCTAGTAGGCAAACCTTGAAGAAGCAAAAACGACAATAGATAGCTGCCACAGAAGAAATGAAATTCCTCCATGATGCAATAAGAAGACTTGTGTTTTACTGAAGCAAGTCTCTAGATTCCAATTGTATTTACTTCAATTAATGGAACTCAAGAACCGAGATATATTTGTTCAATTCGGAAGCATTTCCGGGCAATCACGCATTGAAATCGATGCATGTAGCCGCTGGAGTGTGTATCGTTATTGGTTTTCTATTCTCCTCCATGCTTTCAATTCTTTTAGCATTTCCATACATGAACTCCTTTTTTCGCACTTTATTCGGTTTGTCTTCCTTATTATTGCTTCGTAAAATTTTTTTCTGAAATCGATTCTTTAGATTTTTGATTACCAGCTTCTAGCAGTCGTGCCATTTTTCTCAGACATCGTTGAGTTACAGCATTGAATAACAGTTCCTTTTTAACAAATGTGAATCGTAATTCCTTTCATGGAAATTGGATACTGTGAATAACTGTGATACTTTCTTAGATCTTAAATGGCCACTTACACGACACGAATTTTGCCTACTAAGGCACATTTTGCGTTCAATTTATGTTTCGTCGTTTAGGTAAGTCCAAAAAAGAATTCGTTCCAGAATGCTACTAACTCGTGACTCTAAGGAATTACCACTTACACATTCGAAGGAGTTTCATCCTCCTGTACAAGGTGTCGCCCAGAAGGCGACGGTTTCCGATATAAGCTCGTTTTTCGCTAATCGCTAGAATGTATATTTCAAACACCTCCTTGATTCGAGCTGATGAGAAACTTTTGCTTCTATTGCTGTCTTTACATTATTCCTATGCTTTCCTTAAACACAACAATGTCGTTTAAATCACTCAGGATGGATGTTATTATAGTTCCGGCTTGTCACATGACCTTTTCTCTACTGTTCCATTAAGCTCTCAGCTCATTCTGTTGTTCAGAACGCAGAAGTTTTCAGTGCAATGTGGTGGGTGGTGCTAATTGCGTTGCCCACGTTAGTGACAGCTTTGGTGTACCGCTGTGAGAACGACGAGGTACTGATCGTGCAGAGCTTCGGCAATGACACCATTCGAATGCATTGCCAGCGACTCGACATGTGTGGATATCAGAATTTGGTGAGTTGTTAGGCAGCACATAAGCCATCAGTACAGTCCTTAGAGCCAGGGATCCTCTTGCGAATAGGCACTCCGTTCCTCAGCATAAAGTGGATTTCTGAGACGCAAACCGTGGTTCCTAAGAATTCCTGGCAGGTTAAGTACCTATGGTTGAAAATGCATTCGTTTTGCATTTTCTGCTTAAGGGATGTCATTTTTCACGGCGAAAACTGAAAAATCAATTGCTTCTTGGTGGGATCTTATTGTCCAGCATTTGCGCTTTGATTTCTATATTCTCCATGTGTAACTGGTCAGTGGAACGATTTTTCTAGGTTTTTAACAGAGGGAATAGCGCAAAAGAGAGTGAATGGACTGCGTAGAACACAGCGCTAACTTTTTTATTTACTGCCTACTACGGCTTTTTAATGGCATGGTGTTATGTGAAATACGACCACAACGATGCTGAGATAATCTCAATACTCCGGACCGCAGGTATTAACTGGGTTCAATTCCGATTTGTGCTCCCCAGATCAATCTTTCTGGCGGATGATTGCTAGTGGCACTGGTGGACAGAAATCTAGCTGAGTGAATGTCGAAATAAAGGGCCCAAATGGTTTGGTGGTGAATGCGTTAACTCTTGGAAAAGGTAATAGCGTCCTCGATCCTTATTGCATACATCTGTGCTCCGGAGTTTTCCAAATATCTCAGTATCATTGTACGTAAAACACAGAATAAAATGGTGTTCTTCTGAATGCTATCTATCAATACGCATTTTTATTCTGCTGGGCAACCAATTCTTAATCTCTTTTCACAAGACAATGTTTATATTGAATAGTTTTATTCATTTTAGCGTTGCGACTATGACGATTTCCAACCACAATGTGGAGGACTGATGAACTTCGTGGCACATGTCGTTCAATCCACACCCACCTCGCCGTCAGTTTTCATATCATTTTCATTGCGCTTCATTTCGATCCTTACTGAGATGTAATTGTTTGAGAGCATCACAGTGAAGTGATTTATAGACATGTCGATGCTTCGTAGCGGAAGTTAGGAAAGTAGATAGTAGAGTGAGCAAACGGAGCAAGTGGGTCAGGGAGAAGAGGACAATTTTTCTTCCATGTATCATTTGATAACTATGAGGCATCATTATAGCCCAATATAGAGCGGGGTAGCAATTCAATTTCGATCAGATACGCACGTCTATAAATTACGGTGGTCATTCGTCGTAGTGAAAATCGTAAAAGAAACTGACCGTTATTGTTTGTTTAAACGTCGAGCGAATAAAAACTTTGGCTGTCCAGATGGGATCTGCACAGAGCTGTGTTGAACAGGGGAATCATCATCAGCGAGGATTTTGTTCACGCTTTCCCAAATGAGTGTGTGATGCTGTTTCAAAGGTTTTTTTTCGGAGAATATTCAGAATCGAGCATATGCTGCTTGAAAGTTTAGGAAATAAAAACGTTGGTGGTCTGAGAGGAACGAACTGCCGGTTGATCAACAGAATAGAGAAAGTACAGATTGAGATGGCCCTTGGTGATCGAGCACCTTTTGCTAGATACCAGTCGACTTGTACTTCAACTATTAGTTCTATCATTTAATAAATATGAGAAATATGATACAGTTATGAGAAACACATGGCTGAATTAACAGTTTCGAAAGCAGATAGGTTATGCCAAACCTTCGTAACAACAACCAACCAGAGATATTTCCTCCTCAACGGCAACCACAAAACCTTTTCACATGAGTGGTAGCACAGCTTTACACAATTTTTCAGATCTTCATTAAGCTCTTAAGCTATTTCAGATCTCTTCATTTAATAAAACGTCTCAGCCAAACAGCGGACACTTAACAAGCAATAGTTGAGCTGTGCTTATCCACCTAACTGCAGTCTGTTACCGATTTAAAAAGAAGCGGGAAATCAACGGAAAATCTAGCGAAAATGATCAGTGATGGCCTACACGGAACAAAAACCTCCCGTTATTCGCTCAAATTCCGCAAGCAAAATGAAAACGACCGAAAATTTAATCGCCGAGAAGTCGGTCACTACAGGTTTTTCCTATGAAAAAAATTATCCGATTGTTAGTTGGGGGTCGTGCAACCCACCCGACTAATCTCTACGAAAGATACTATCTACTGCAAGCGAATAATCTACCGACTTTATTGAATTTGTCAATAATCCTGTGTAGAACAGATGAAATGTTTGCTACGAAAAAATGAAATATTAGCAATAAGGGGCGTACAGTGCAGTGGTTAGAAATGTCCTGCGTTGAAGACATGGTAATATGTTCTATTCGGCGCTCCGGATTAATCAAGCCTCCACTAGTTCGGGGTTGGCAAAATGAGAGCAGATTTTTCCACATGGTCGAAAACCCTGACTTAGTGCAGCAGTGAGCTGCTGAAGTCATTCATGTGGTAAATCAACGTTCAATCAGCTCTACAATGCCAGGAATGTATTCGAATGCATGTGATATCTCTAAAGGATTGATCAACGTACTTCATCGTTTTACACCTTATTGGCAATGATTTCTTGCTCATAAATATAAATGCCGTTGGTGTCGTAAAGAGATATCTTCATTCCGTTCGGCCCACATTGTACTAAATTTTATTCTTTGTTACTCTGAATACTCAAGAAATACAACAACAACGTTGCTGAGATATTTGCAAAACTCTGGACCGCAGGTGTCTATGGTGGGGAACGAACGCGCTATTGTCCTTTCCGGAGAGTAATGCGTTCACCACCACACCATGCGAGTCCTTCGTTTCTCCTGTCTCTCAGCTATTTCTATCGATCTTTTTACCACAGCAATAACCCGTCAGCGGAGTTGATCTGGGGAACGAAAATCGGCATAGAACCCAGTTAAGCCATGGCTGTAGTTGAAATCACAATGTTTACGTTTTGTTTTCTGCCTTCCATAATTTTCATGGCAGGTTAGTAAGCGAAATACAACCACCCGCTGACGGGTGATTGCTGTGGAAAAAAGATCGATAGAAATAGCTGAGAGACAGGCGAAACAAAGTACCCCCATGGTGTGGTGGTGAATGCGTTACTCCTCGGAAAGGACAATAGCGCGTTCGTTCCCCACCATAGACACCTGCGGTCCAGAGTTTTGCAAATATCTCAGCAACGTTGTGGTTGTATTTCGCTTAGTAACCTGCCGTGAAAATTATAGAAGGCAGAAAACAAAACGTTAAACATTGTGAACTCAAGAAATACTTCTTTTTAGCCCTTTTTTAGCCTTTTCTTCAAAAGTTCCATTCCCATTTGGGCACTTAACTCGGTCGTGTTTCAGCGTTGAGCATACGTGCTGTAATCTGTTCAATCCTCGATTGCCACATACAATTCCGACACATGTCGGAAATGACTGCTTCATCTACGAGCTACCAGATGGATCATCTCATACTGAGCATGCCACCGTCAACGACCATCCACCATTAACTGTACTCAAGGTCTCACTTTTACGTAGGATGAGCTAGTCTCAGTTACTACTTCGTTGATATAAATGCTTTAATAACTCCGTACTTAGGTAAAACATTTGCTAGCCAAGGGAGATTCTACTAAAACATTAATACGTACCGATAAGGTGCAAAGGCTATTTCGTCTATGATAGTCGGTAGCGGTTTGTTATGAGAGCACTTTAATGGTATTCGTAAAAGGAGATCGGTGCTTCAGATGGAATCAAGTACTTAAGTGCACTGACATAGGTCTAAATCAAAGGCGAAGCCTTGGCTTATTTTTGTCGGTATATAAAAGGCTTTCTTTTCAGTTGAAACAGTTATGGAATCTTATTTCAAATGAAATCATGTTTTCAGAATGCAGCAGAAATTCCTGAACACATCGAAGGTGTGTCTGGATATCGCCTACGCCTATATCTTTTGAAAAACAAATCTCCTCCTACGTTGCTCGTCAAGGGAATCGAACGTCGGCTGTAGGTTCCATACTAATCATTGAAGTTGCAGTATGCGAAACCAATAAGAAACGGCGTTTATCTTCTTTACATTCTTGTTGAACAAATATGAGGTGTTACTTCATTCTTTAATTGCGAACAAACTGATGTTTCAGCGGATTTCACCTTTCCCGGAGATTGCAAAGGCTAAGTCAACCGCAAGCTGCCCAGCCAAACACCTTCATAACCAACCAGATAAAATACTAAACCAAGATTCGAATCATATTGAAAACATAATAGCTTCTGCGCACCTTTGCGTGGGTCTTCCACTGGGTGTGTCACGTGGAGACCAAGAGCACAGAGCTTACGTGGAAGCGTATTGTGCCTCTTTCATTGAAATATGAGTCTTAAATGCTTTGTGAGATCACGAGTGGTAACGAGGCATTCCTCGCTGCAGTTCGTTCCCAGATTCTCGGAATTTATCCAGAATACCGTGACAGTTTTGCGTGCTGCTGATGTTTTGGATTCCTGGATGGGGATAATGATTGTTACTTCAAGCACTCACAGCTTAGTATTGCAGAGAACTGAAAGCATTTTGCCAAATACTTGCCATTATTTCTATTTTTTAGAGGTGGCTATCGCGTTACTATTTGTCGGCCCCGGTGCACCTCTCACGACGTAGTTGAGAAAGAGGTGAAATTGTTTGTTTTTCTCGTTATTTCTTTGACGCGATATATCATATTGTGCAGATCTCAGCATTTTATCCACTCTGTTGGATGTATTGCATCAGTTGTTCGTGAAGCTCTTTTGATTTTGCATAGATGACCGCCTGCCAATTGAGGATTTTTCTTTTTTCATGATGGTTGTTGAATGCTAGTCGAGTTGATTCTCTTTGGGGTTGTAGGATGGCACTTTGAGGACGCTTCCAGACTCTTCAAAGACACATCTGCAATTAGTTTGCTGATACCGCAGAGATGGGAGGTTTGGCTGACCCGGGCAGGTTCGCACCGGTGACTATGGGTGTTTTACTTCACATCTAGAACAAGTGTCTCCGCCATGGCACCGAAACTTATTATCTGACAAAAAGTGGTTGAGGGAGTGTGGGAGGGCAGCTGTAAAAGAAAGTGAATAAGGGAAGTGCGAACGTATGAAAAACGAGAAAAAATAAGGTAGCGACAATGAACTAAAGAAAGAATTAGGCTATAAGTGTGCATATAACTAACTATTTTCAGGAAGGACCAATTGAGTGGCAAGCGGTCAGTTGGACGAGTTGGACTAGCTCTTCGTTAGTGCTTTTCAGGATCCGATCCTAATACTATACTCATAAATCCCTTAGTCAAACCTTTTCTCAAACTTTCTAATTAACTTCTATACAAAACCAGTTTTCCGCTTCCCAGATGGTCAACATGGGCTCGCAATATCTGGGGTGATGCTGCGAAAGGTCAAAACCGTCGCCGGGTCGATGCAGTGCAATCTAAGGCCGCGGATCCGTCTTCTTCTTCACCGTGTAGGTTTTCCTGCTTTGAGGAGGAGCTTTGTCGCTTTTTTCTGTATGCTATAATATCGGATGTTTCCTTTCAGCTGGTCACGGCGTTCCTAATATTCACGTCCATGTGAATGCTAGTGGAAACAACAACAACGTTATTAGTGGAAACAATGGAAGAGAAAATACAGTTCCTGGGCATATCAACATCACCATTCACACAGGAGAGGGCAAACAATCAATTGGAAATGTAGCAAACGTTCGGAAATAGTAGAATTTATTTTTTCATCTTTTTTAAAGACCTTATGATAAATTGGCTTGAAAGAGAAGCCCTCTGAAGGCGTCCGATTTTATCACGGCAAACTTCCATATGAGATTCCTTTTTTGCTTCAATATCTTTGAAAATGACCACCTTTCGATTTGTTATTAGATTAAACTTTTTCAATTAAAATAACTCTACAGTTTCTTGTTCTTTCCAGAAAAGTGCACATTATTGCAAAGAACAATCTGCATGTAGGAATGAAAATCTTTTAAAACAAAACTTTGCTTTCATTCTTTTTTTGCGCAGATTGAGTCTTGCAGAAACTAGCCCTTAGATAAAAATCATTCATTAGTTTTAAATAATAGAGGAAGTGCGCTCTTATTTTAGGTAGGACCTGGCTCTCTTTACGTAGATGGAAGTTCTCGAAGAGGCGATGGAAAAGACAGTGAAGAGAACGGCAAAAGAAAACGAGGACGTGGAATGAAAGGTGAAGATTGTCCTATTTTGGAAGAAAAGCTGTAGTTCCTTGTTTCATTGACAAGTTGACACGACGTTGTTACCAAGCATTTATTCGGTTAACGTTTCGACTCCTTCAACTTCCTCGAAGCCAATAACCCGAGTCAATGTCCATAGTTCTTCATACTCTCGTTGCGGTGTCTTCGTCGACGTATCGAGTAGGATCTTCTTCGGTGGAACAGCGCTCAAATGGAGATATCTCACCCGGCGATGCTTTTTTATACAGGATGATTGTTGTTGATATGACTATCCATTGATAATAATTTGTTTTACGAACAATCCGTCTTGCTGAAGTCGGTACTGGATACGCTTGCATATAGCGTAGTGATATTATTGCGAACCGACTTGTGTAACACCGACTTCTACAGAGCAGATTATCCGTTAAAAACGAACTGTTATCAACGGATAGTCATATCAACAACAGTCACCTCGTATGAAACATTATCGCTGGGTGAAATTACCACATTTGAGTGATGATCCACTGAAGAAGATCCGACACGATACGACGACGAAGAAACCGCATCGAGAGTACGAAGAACCGTGGGCGTCGACTGGGATCACAGGCTCTGATGAAGATGACGTCGAAACGTTATCCGAATGAGTACTTAATAACAGCCGCGTGTTAGCTTAACAGTGAAACAAGGTACATTGATTGTTTATACCAGGGTTTAAGGATAGACTGTTCACAATAAATCTGTAGTTCACTTAAAAAATGTTCTTTCTATATCAAAATTTCTGTAGATTTTTTTTGCAGATAGTGACAACGATGATGACCTTGTCTCTGGTACTTATGGTTACACCAAGGGTTCTCCGAAACAGAATCGCAACTATGAGCGTGATTCAGCTGGTGGAGACAGGGAAGGCGAGGACGAACATAAACAGAAAAGAGGTCGAGAAGGAAAAAGAGGAAAAACAAACAATAGAAAGAACAAAGACGGTGGTCCAATCAATGGCAACGACGTTAATAATGCCGACGATTCTCGAAACGCTGATGGAGTACGAGCTTCTGTCTGACTTTCCCCGTTGTAAAGTGGTTATGTAAGTAATTGTTTTTTCAGGATAACGATAGAGATCGAGGGGGCCATGGCCGCAAAGGAAGCGGAGGTATGAGGGGAAAAAACGAAAGAGAACGAAACGGAAAGAAGAGCAGTAAAGTAGGCGAAAATATCGGCGAAAGTAAAGCGGGTGCTGGAAATGGTGATGAAAATCGTATTGAATTAAATGGGAATGAAGGAGATCAAACAGTTGGAAAAAAAAGTGTAATTGGTGCTCACAATGGAAGCGAAGAAATAGCGAAAACAAAGAAAGGAGAGAGGAAAGGAGAGCAGAGCAGTAAAAATGGAAAAAATATCGGCAAAAGTGAAGCAGGTACTCGAGATGGTGATGGGAGCAATAGTGGATCGGATGGTAATGGAAGGAGTGCAGCAGTTGGAAAGAAAGGGCAGGTAAGGCGAAAAGAAAGTGGAGAAGCTGATTCAGAAGCGGGAGAAGAATCTAGGAAGAATTCAGAAAGCGCAGGTTAGCTAGTTATTGCCATATATATATATATATATATATATGCTATATTGAGGAAAAGAATTTGCATACTTTTATGAAATTTTCAAGGTGATTTCCGCTCTGGTGGTGGAAACGGCAACAGCAATGGCGACAGTGGCGGTGTCAAAGGCGTTGGATCAAGGGCGTTCACCGTTAGAAATGGTAACGGTCTAGACGGTAGTGGAGATCCCAGAGTCGAAGCAAAGGGCGGAGGCAGTAGTGCTGCTGCCGGCCAATCGGGAAATGGTGGAGAAAACGCTGAATCACATACTATTAATGGGGCAGGAAAGATCAAAATTGGTGATCGAGATAAAGGGGCAGAACCGGGAAAAGGAGGAAGCGATAGTGGCAATGAGGCAGAGCCAAGTGAACGAGTAGAACTGAAGAACAGTAGTATATCGCGAAAGAAAAAAGGAAAAGGCAGTCTCCGTACTGAAGACGAAGTGGACAGTGACGATTCATTACATGAAAGTTCCATGAGGACTGTCAATATAGGCAAGTAAATCTTAGCGGATTTGTTGCCTAGCAAAAACAAAAATTCTTACCGTTATCTTCTATCTTATTTATTTTATTTATTTTGATATTCTTGTTTAGCCAACACGAGGTGTTACTCCATTCTTTATTTCGTTAAAGCTGACTTTTCGGCAGTATCTCCTTTTTCAGAGCCTGGAAGGCTATATTGAAATGCAATTTAGTGCCCCAAGCGCTTTAAGAATACAAACAGAAAGATGAAAATCTGAACGGCAACCACTCCATCAATAGCTTCTCGAAAAACCCACCGTTTTTATGTGCCTTCCACTGAGGAAGAACAGGTGATTTGTGTCGCATATGGTTGATGAGTGCACCACCTCACATCAAAAGATGATGCGAAGGTACGGGGCCAGATTGTGCACGATCTCTGGACATTCCTTCATGCTACTCATAGTAGGGTTAGCTGTGAATAGCAGGAGGAGTACCCCGAGATCACATGCGTTCTAGCCCCGTACCTTACCTTACTTTCGAATCGTCTTTTGGTATGCAGTGGTGTATTCATCAACCATGTGCCATTCAAATCATCTGCTCTTCCTCGCTGGAAGGCAAGTGAAAACGGTGGGTTTTTCGACAAGCTATTGATCGAGTGATTGCCATATAGATTCTCATCTTTTTGTTTGTGTTAATGGAGCGTATGACATAGTAAATTACCTACCAGTATACCCTCCCAGGCTCTGAAGAAGGCGATACTGCCGAAACGTCAGCTTCAACGGAATAGAGAATAAGGTAACATCTCGTGTGTACTCAGCAAAAACATCGAGAATTACTTGATCAGTGCCAAGGTTAATAGAAAGTCGGTCGTAGGATTCACTAATTTTTTTAAAAGTCCAGTAAACCACGAAAACTTAAATTTTTGGAGCAGAAGATAGATTTTTATGGCGAAATCTGCGTCGAATACTTCTTTGTAAATTTGCTAAAATTTTTTTCGAAGTCATGTATCGTTGGCTCTACACAGTGTGACCCTTGCCACGTCATAATTGTTCTTCGATGCCACATATATTTAGAAGTCTAGAACTTATGTGAATTTAGAAGGAAAATTAGTTTTGTTAACTTGCAGCTATTTTAAAAGTGATTTTAGAGCGAAAAGGTAATGAAACTGGAGGCAAAAGCTCAGGAATCTTGGATGGTAGCGATAAGCCCAAAGGTGTCGACGGAAAGCCACGTCTTGAAGAGATGAAGGGACAAAATGGGTAACAAAAACCATTCGACTGATATTTTGTTCGCTTCTCTTATTTAGTCTTTATTTATAAAGCCACATAGTTACTGTGCAGATTATCGCAAGCAATAATGTGGTAGGTTTCACTGTTGATTTTCCAGTTATGCAGATTGCTTGCAAGTCGTATTTCTTATCTTTAATTTAAAACTTCACGAGTGAAATTGAAATTTCTTTCCTAAGTATTGTTTAGCATGGAAGACGTGTTATTGATTTTTTAGTACCTCGAAGTCATATTCTAGATATAACTACAGTTATATTCGGCAGTATTCGAACTATTGTGCGGTACTAGTAATACTACTCAGTAAGAGTGGGAAGCCAACAAATGTCCTCGTTCGTTCTCACTCTAGGCCCATCAAACGTGTCAACCTCTGGTGTGGGGAAATTAGTACCAGACTTGTCTGGGATCAGCGGGCTCCCCATAATCTGCAAAAACTGGGGAGCCGTTTTGATGCAGTACTGGCAGCACCTTACTACGGGCATCCAAGGATTTCAAACAGTATTGTCTCCTCCAGAATTCATAGTCATACATGGAGCAGAAGTCTAGAAGTAATAGTCGAATTCACGAGTAAACAAAGCGAGGGTCTGCATAACACATGTGATGTCAGCTAATGCAAAAAATTTCAAAACTTGTAAAACTTTTTATGCGAGAATTTATCGAGTGACTCAAGGTGATTCCAGTAAAATCTCCAATCATCCCTGTAGCGTATCAGGGCTGTTTGCTATACTCTCTCGAGAAACACCAAAAGCATCATGTTTTGGACACAAGGCATTTTTCTATTTCCGACCTTCGTCATTGCACATGTTTTTTCCTACCAAGGGTTCTGGATAGACTCTTTTAAGCCATATGGCTGCAAATGAACTTCCTTTTTACCGCAGCTTTCACATTGAGATAGATTTCTTGATCTGATTAGACCTCTTTATTTCAAGCTAACATAGATTTAAACTTGAGAAAACTTTTTAGGTAAAACTCCTTAAGATCATGTGTTACTTGATATAATTGATTTACAAAATGTATTGCTTTCTGTTTGTAGCCACATCCGAAAGACTCTAGACAGACAAGCAGCGGCCACTGACGATCCTTCTAAAGCCATCATTGAGCAAACAACTAAGAGAACCATAGAAAGGTCTCTTTTTGTGCTAAACAACAAATTTGCCTTTAAAGAATGTTTTCTTAAATAATTATCGTTTTCAGCTCCAAGCGCAAATCAACTCTTCTTCACTCAAAACTGGGCGTCACAAACCCTTCTGATATCCTCACAACTAGTCGGTCAACTGATGCGGCAATTGTTAGCGTAGAAAGTACTACCACAAGGACATCAACAAATAGAACCGCGAAAAAGGAATCGCAAAAGACTGAAGATGACAGCAAAGTCGGAAAACTTTCGAAAGAAGCTCGTAAAGCTAACGGTGGCCTCTCATCTACTACCTCTTCAGGATTGAAGAGTGGAAAAACTGTTAGATCGAAAGCCAGTCATTCCATGGAAAGAACATTTTCAAACATGACCACTAATGTCCATGGAAGAAATGCCACAAAACCAATGCACGAATCTACGGAAATGACTATTCCTGGTTCTAAAACGGTATCCAGCAGTATCTCCACGAATACAACACTGAAGGACTCATCAGGTGGCGGTTTGGGTGCTCCCTCTGGAAACCCATCGTCAACCAGTACTGCACCTGAAAACGATAAAACTCTTATTAAACAGCCGTCCACTCTCAGTGCTATTCCTGTTGATAAAAAAGCTGTCGGTGTTGCTGCTCCTCCTGCAAGAGCACGACTTGCTGCAGGTAAAGATTTGGTTCATTTTCTTTTCTTCTTTCTCCAATCACGTTTAACCATTTCTTTAAGAAGAACAGTTTTATATAAAAACTACCGAAAACCAAACAGCAAATGTGATTAAAGCTAGTAGTGATAATCACGACGGATAATTGAAAAATCCTCCCAACTGTTTACCGGCTCATCGTGCCTGGAAGGTGTTCCTGGGTGTCGTACTGCGATGTACAGCGGGGAATTCATCCCTTGGCAGGGTCTACCAAGCTGAGAAAGAGTCCGGCGTTTCCATCAGGAAGCCTAGCTAAGAGTAAACCAGTACCAGGATCCACTATCGTCCTGCTATCAAAGTCGCATGGTGGTAAATTTCTCTCTGATCCACAAGGGCTGCGACTGCCTGTGGTGGTGCTTCAGGAAACCATAATGGCTTAACCAGCAAATCTCGGAAAAGTGGAGATTATGCTGGGGTCCGCACAACCAGTGAGGACGAGCCGTTCAAGTATCAAGTAAGTAAGAAACCTAAATTTATAAGTGGCTTTAAGTTTCAACGCACTTGTGCGAGTACTCTAAACCAATACTGTAAAGGACCAAACTTGAACAGAAGTTTTGAAAACGCTACAGTTGAAATTTTCAAGTTCTTAAAAATGTTTATTTGCAGCTGCAGCGGCTGGTCAACAAGGAGGACCGAAACGTTAGTTACTTAATGACACGTTTCTTATAATCGTTCTTTTATTTTGTTTTGTTTGTTTTGTTTATTTATTTTGTTACATGGTCACTTCTTTTGAGGACAGGTGTGAAGGACAGTTTTTATTTTTTTTTAAATTCATTTATGTGATCCGTCTTCTGTGCGGATACCAGCACTTCTCACATACAATTCGCTTCCTCGCAACCATTGTCTACGAAGATCTTCCAGCTTTTACATGTGGCTTCGGTTGCTGCTTGAGGATTTTCATTTCATCTTGAATGTCGTAGAATGCTGGCCGAGCAATTCTCCCTGGAGTCCTGGGATAGCAGGGCTGGAGCGCTCCCAGTTGGATTGCAAAGATTGATTTTCTCCCCAAACAAGTCCAGTACCAATTTCGCGACCCCGTGGGGATGAGAGGCTTGGTTGGCAGGGAGCGGAATCGAACTAGAACCATGTTCGTGATGACGGGGATCACTACCACTGCGCCATCCACCCCATCTGGCTTTATGTGAGGTGGCAGTTAGTCAATTAATTCAGAAAGAAGTAAGCATGTGCCTTGAGACACGCATGGATCCCAGTACGTATGGTTTTAGTGGGTAGGAAATCGAAACATTTGTGGAAACTCTCGTATAGCAATAGTCTGTGTGGCCCTTTGTTTTCTCTAACTTTCCGATCCATCCAGTAACTTGTATTCGAAACATCTAAAAACAAGTGTTAGCAGAATCGAGTTCGCTTATATTTACCAACTGTTCACTCCTGTGTTCACTATAAAGCTTATCGCCACTTCATCACACTCTTTCCGGCCAGAAAGCTTTTTGAGTGCTCTTCCATATCTCAGTTCTAAAGTGCAGAAGTCGAAGCTAAAATTTCAACGGTAAAGAAGACTCAAAAACTCAAAGTCAAGAAGACGGTTTATACGTGAACACTAGTGTCGAGACGAATGCAGGAGATCGGTTGACTGTGCTGGTGACGATCATTAGTACGGCCAACGAAGATCAGGGATAACTCCTCAGGAAGAATTGAGTGAAAAGATGCTGTCTTGACTATACTTTCAGCAATCTGAACAGAAGAAAAGCTTTTAGTTCCATTTTCGCGGACACTAAATTGTGACATCTGTTAAGGCGGATAACAAACACTGCATGTAACTAGCTGAGAGACAGGCAAAGCGAAGGACCCGGATGGTGTGGTGAAGAAGTGCGCTACTCTCCGGTAAGGACAATAGTGCGCGTTCGTTCCCCACCGCATACACCTGCGGTTCAGAGATTTTGCAAATACCTCAGCATTGTATACGAGTTATATTTCGCAACATACCCTGCCATTAAAAAGAAAAAGGCGGTAAATAAAAGGGTTAAGACTGCATGTAATCATTCGTTTGTTCATCAATGTTCGACAAACACGCATTACACTTCTTTCTTGTTCTAACACTAATAATATTGGAGAAGGGCGCCTCTTCTGTTGGGCTAGCTTTTCGTATTGTCAGCGAGATCTATGGTATATAAGCTGTGGGATAACCATAGGAGGATTCCGGGCTTCTGAAAAGACCTTCAATGAGCGAACGCTTTGAAAACGACAAGAAACCCATCGAGGTACCCTGTCAGGGCACAGTGCTTTGAAGTGTTTTTCGGCTTGAGGAAACCTTGTGAACCGTTTGAAATGGTGACTATATTCACTCCTTAAATTCAATAAAGCCCTTCGTTTGACATGCAAAGGTTTGTCGTATGGACGTGGGCGAACGACTGTGGACCGCTAACTCGGATCATCAACTTCGAAGAAGATGAAACGTCGAGAGATTAACCGAATATAATTATTTATACGATTTTATAAACTGATCTTCTTAAGCTGACGCGAGGTTGGTACAGGTCTTCGTTGTCGTTGTCGTTGTCGTTGTTGATGCTGTTGGTCGATGGTTGACATTTCGGCGACTTCGTCTTCCTCAGAGCTTAGACGTATTTTATATTAGAAAATTTTTATTATTCGGTGGAAAGAAGGTTAAAGTATTAATGAAGATCAAACTTTCAAATTTTCAAATAGATGCCATATTGAACAGAAAGGCCACTCACCGTGATGTTACGTGGTACTGGCCCCAAGCGCTGTTCACGTGGGGTCGCGAGCGAGGCACACCCAGGGTCAAAATATCATTTTGAAATAGGGCGCCAGGTCACGTGTGATAGTGAGGCATTTGTCATTTCGGCCCATCTTTGGATTTTTGAAATTTATCCAAAACGCCTCAAGAGTTTTGCGCGTTGATGTTCTCGAGAAAGGTGAACCGAAAAGACGAATGCCTCACTATCACACGTGATCTGGCGCCCTATTTCAAAATGATATTTTGACGCGTGTCTGTCCCTCGCTCGCGACCCCACGTGAACTACGTGTGGGCCAGTCCCACACGTAACATCACGGTGAGTGGTTTTTCTGTTCCATATGGCGTCTGTTTGAAAATTTGAAAGTTTGATCTTCATTAATACTTTAACCTTTGTTTCCACCGAATAATAAAAATATTCTAATTAAAGTACGTCCAGGCTCTGAGGAAGGCGAAGTCGCCGAAACGTCAACCATCGACCAACAGCATCAACAACAACGACAACGACAACGACAACGAAGACCTGTACCAACCTCGCGTCAGCTTTAGAAGACCAGTTTATAAGATCCCATCTATGCCATATATCAACTATCTATGCCGAGCTTTATCGAAAGTCGGTCTTTCGAGTTGTTATCCGAATATAAGTTATGTAACAGCCTCATTTAGGGTAAACAATGAAAGGGAATTTTTTGATTATTCTCGCCGAAGTTAAGCGAAAGTCGGCTTGGTTAAGTAATATTACGCTTTGTGCTAGGTGTTCTAATGCCGACTGCTACAGGATGGATTGCTGGCGTGAAAAGAAACCATTATCAGTTGACAATCAGCCAACAACCGTCCTGTATAAAAGATCGCTTTCGGGTGAGAATTGCCTCATAGTAGTGATGCTCCAAATTCGATTTAATACGACGACGAGGACAACACATCGAGAAGGCGAATAACTGTGGACCATCGACTCGGATCATCTGCTGTGAGGAAGATGAAAACGTTAAAACGCTAGCCGAATAAAAGTTATACAGCAAGTTCGTACAAGCAGAACAGTTCAAAGAAATCTAGTGGTTGGCTATGTTTTTGTCAAAAGATTCACAACCAGCTGTTTAGAATTTTAAGATGACATCACCATCCAAGTGACCTCATTTAGTGAAAATTATGGCTCCTCAAGGCTTTAGAGTTGGGAACTTGAGAACAGTCAATGGAAGCAACAAGATTCGTTTAAATCCGACCAAACAGTGATGAAGCAAACTGAATGTTAGCTGATTTTGATGTAGCATATAAAAGGATCGAACTGAAACTGAATTTATGGAGAACATCATGAAGGACAAATTTATACTTGTTGCCAATTCACCACAGGATTCGTCAAACACCTTAGCGATGACATTTAAGTTGAAATCGTGAAGTAATCTATTCACCGTCTAGATGTAAATTTGGCGCCATGTGTATTAGGCGGTCAGTGGAATATAATAGGTCTTCGAGTCAGTCTTCGGTATAGAATAATTACTAGTGCGAACTAGAATGCTCGACTTTGCATGAGTTCACTAAGAGAGACTTATTGACGTAAGATGACATCTTGTTGAGCGAACGGGTTGAGCGTAGTTGAGCGAAACTGGGCGAGACACTAACTGGATGACTAATAATGCTCCTTATATTTATTTTGTAATGAGCGGAGTCTGAAGAAGGAACTAGAGACAATGCACAGAATGAGATTTTAAAATGTTTCTCAGTTAATATGATCTCATAAAGCTGCTTGCACGGAATACTGGTGAAGGCCATACAGTAGCGCCTGCAGAAAATGCGCACTGACAGCGAATCAGTAGCTTATACAGAAAGTTGATTGAAACGGCAGGTGCTTGAGGGTGGCTGCAGCTGGCAGCTGATCATTCACTTCGAGAATTGTAGGACAAAGAAGAACAGTTCTTGCAAAGAAGTTGCAGAATCCCCAACCAGCTGCGAGGAAGGTGCATGAGATGGTCGCTAATGAATAATTAGCAGAAAGTGCGAGCACAAATGCAGGATAATTACCAGTAAGCAGTTAATATAGGATACATACAGCAGTATAGAAAATGGGAACTATTCAGAGAATATCACGATGTTAACTCCTTTATCTACCGCCTAATACAATTTCTCACCGCAGGATATTATGTGAAATACAACCAGAATGACGCTAACATATTTGCAAAACTCCAGATCGCACGTGTCCGTGGTGGGCATCGAACACGCTATAACTTTTTTTGGAGGCTAATGCGCTCACCACAACACCGTGCAGGTCTTCCGCTTCGCCTTTCTCTCAGCTAATTTTTCTCTCTGACGTCAATCCCGTTGAGAGGTGACTGCTAATGGCGCGGTTAGGTAGAAAAACTCGCTGAGAGAAAGGCGAAACGAAGGACCTGCATGATGTCGTGGTGAACGCGTTAGCCTCCGGAAAGGATAATAGCGTATTCGACCCCCACTGCAGATTCCTGCGGTCAGGAGTTTTGCAAAAAAAAATTTCTCAGCATAATTGGGCTGCACTCGTGGAATAGTGTTGCTATAGCATGGAAGCTGCGATAGCAATATGAGGTTGAAAACCGCGAATGAAAAAACCACTGATAGCAAAATAATACTCGTTTCATGAGTTCTTTGTTCCATGAAGGTGATGATGGTGACGGTGGAGGTGTTTTAGGTGACGCACAAGCCATTCTTCAATATTCGACTTGTTCATCTTAGCAGAAAAGTTCCTCGTAGAACTAAATTTTCGGTCCCCTCTCCTGCGTTCAGTTTAGGGCCAATTTCAAATTGCCCTTCTTTTTGGGCGAAATGAAATCAACTGAAATGGGATAAAACGGCGAAATGAACCTCGTATTTGGTTAACTTTTTCAACGAACATCCTGTAAATCAACAAAGCCCAGAAAATTTCGGAAGGATTAAATTGGTTATAAACCAAAATTTGTGCATCCTGAATTATTTTCACTCAATAAGAACTAGTTCACTTAGCTCCATCAAAGAAGGCGGCTGATCCCAAGGCAGTGAAGAAGGCGATGAAACGGCTGAAGCGGATGAATTGCTTCCCAGCTGACGCGCTTGTCACAACCGTCACCGGGCGGAAACGAATGGATCAGTTAGCAGTCGGTGACTTTGTAAGTTGTTTTTCATTATAGCTTTTTATACATATTAAGAAGATTAGTGCGCTTAGTTGATTTCGAATAACAAAAAAACTGCAAGCTGAATCACAATGGTGACTTTTTATTTGCTGCCTACTGCAGTTTACGATTTCGACTGCAGCCTCAGCCTTACAGGGTTCAAGGCCGATTTGTATTCCCCAGATCATTCCCGTCAACAGGTGATTGCTGATGGCACAGTTAGGTAGAAAACTGACTGAGAGAGAGGCAAAGCAAAGGCGTCAGTGGTGTCTTGCCTAACCCTCGGAAAAGGCAATCGTGGTTCGATCTGGTCCAGGGTCCAAGTTTTTCGAATATCTCGGCATTGTTGTTGTTGTAGGCTGAATTTTGGTCATTCATATGAGTACAAGTGTAATGCTTACCAAAATTGTAGCTCAAAGCTAAGTGGATTTATGAGAACGACTGATGACCACATTTTATCAAACTACAAGTTCCACAGTATGATCATGTTCATTATCTCACTTGAAATCATTTTTTGTGGTGAAATGCTGTCAGTTTAATTTGTGTCTTCAAATTTTTGTAATCAAAAGTTTCTAGTTTGGAATGACCTGTCGCATGCTTCGCTTTACATTGCTTCTTGTTCACTGAGTCACCAGTTACTTTCTGTTTATTGGAACGCTGTCGAAAAACTCCAAACTCTCTTTTTCAATTTTATGTGTTGGTACCGAGTGCAAGAAATGTACTGAAATACGAACGAGTGGAGATGTTCTACCATCGGGAGCCGGAGAAACGGACCCAGTTTGTTGTTCTGATTACGGAATCTATGAAGAGACTAGCTCTAACACCACTTCATCTGCTGCCATTTGGTGAATGTGAGTCGATGAAGAGGTAAGGTAAAGCTCCAAGTCTTCGATAGCGAACATCAAAAAAATACATCAAGAAATGCGTTAGAAAAAAAGTGGTTTGAATAAATTTACAGCTCTTCATAAAAATCCTAACAGTAATTTAGCTGTGCATTACACTGATTCCTTCCATCAGCCAATACGAGATTGCTACCTTTTCATTTTAGTTATAATTTAGAAAAGCACTTCTATTGCGTCTTCTTGAGCTTGGAACTACCTCACAGAGCTAAAAAAACGCAAGTGGTTTGGTAATGTAATGTTCGGCTCTGCTCAGACCCTTAATGTATTTTAAACGCCGAACATTGACCGCTGAAGTAGATTACGGACGAACAAATGCTTTAGGATGCGGCGAATTGCACCAGTTATTGGGAGACAATCACGTTTACAATTCATTAAATAGTCTGAGTACTCAAACACTTCTAACTATGCGTAAAGATAGGATAGTGGAATCAATAGGTGTAGCGAAGAATTTATCTTTCAATTTCCACCGAAGCTGCAGCGTGCTTGTGAAACCTCAGGTGAGAATGAACCTACTCGAGAAATTGCCGTAGGTCCGACAAAGCTGTAGCGTAGTAAAGTAGATCGGCATCTTCTCTCATCTGCTTTATACTGTTCCTCGAATAATTCGGTTACCTATTAGAAACAGAGCCATCAATTCATTTTCCAAGGAGAAAACACGCTCCACAAGGCAACAAAACTCACGTAACATCCATTTCACTGACTCAGAGTTGCATCATATGGTTTATAATTTGTGGAACAAGCGATGAAGTCTCAAATAACTTCGGATTGTAATGATTCTGGATTATAAGGTCATGTCTATGAAATCCGCAGAGCCGACACTACATAATATTGGAGTAACATCTTTGTAAGCCGACATTCAATTTTTGGATCACGTCTATCCAATCGAGTGGGCGTCAGCAAATCTTCCATTTCTCCCTGTCGCGTCCAAGAGTATCCCACTGGATCTTGTTCGTTCTAGGAACTCGTTGAACACCAAATGTTTGCCCTAGGATTTTCGTGAAGAACATTAAACATCGGGCATCGGGTTGTGGTTTTCCTGCTGTGCTTTTGACATCTAGAAGAGTCTAGTCGCTGACGACTCTTCTCCATCGGTTGCCGTTCATACGCGCTTCGTGTCTGACTATCTTTAAAAGCTTTACTTTTAGAAGCTTTTTGGTCGTTGACGTTTCTTGGATCTTCCGATCCATGCTCTCACTTGCGTGATTCAGGATACTCCTAGTATCGTCCTTTCGACTGCGTGTTCTATAACGCTAAGCGATCATCCACCCTGCTTGCATAAAAAGCCAGGTTTCTGACAAATAAGGCAGGAGGAATTCTGGAGCAAAAAAAGTGAGCACGGAGCCGGACGCTCTTTGTTCTTCTCAGTGCTTCCTCGACTCTCGAGAACGCTCCCAAAACCACTCAACTCCTCGTGCTCGACTATTGAACTAAGCATTCATCATGTCAACATTCCCACCCAGAAAAACAGTCGAACATTTCGGAAAAATTTATTCCGCTGAGAGTGAATAGGGTGACAGATACAAATCTGTTTCCCACGAACATCGTTTTTGTGAGAGTCAGTCGGAGACAAATCTTTCCACAAGAGATCTCAAAATCAGCAAGCATTCGTTCCGCTTGGCTAATGTTTAATGCTATGTGAACGATGTCGTCAGCAAAGCGAACGTGGTGTAACTGCCGACCATCGATTTCCACTCCCATGTTGTCTCATTCCAGCGTTCGCATGACGTTCTCGAGGCTGGTGGTAAATGTTTTTGGTGAGATGGCATAGTCTTGCCTAATCCGTCATTTGATGCCGATATCTATGTCGCTATAGAATGATGATATATCGGTGGTGAAAATTTTGTGTGGCTCACAAAGAACCTTTACATGCTGAGTACAGACTCTCTGGCAGTTATCGCTTCAATACTGTTTCAATCACAACTGAGTCAAGAGCTTTGGTTAAATCGATGAAGGTGAGACAGAATGGTGTCTTACATTCTCACGATACTTCGATGAGTTGTGTTATCGTGTGAATGTGATTTATCGTGCTAAATCCTTTTAGAAACCCTGCTTGCTAACTCACTTTCTACATCGTCCTTGAGCGGTCGGTTACGTTTGCATTCCTACTTTCGTTTCCGATTTCGGCTTTAACATCTCTCCGAATCAACTAGTAGGAGGATCGAGCGAAGGATTCGTCGCCGAAAACACACTTCCCTCTGATTCACATCGTGGTGAAGACCTGGATACGCCCTTGCAATGTTACGTCAAGACTCCAGGTAGGACCAAGTTGCACGAACAACAATACGCCAGCCTCAGTACCCCGCACAATGGGTGCTTCCGTCTATGATGACGTCAGGCGGTGAGACGACCGGTGAGAGGTCAGAAAATCTCAGGTTACGCTGGACGTCAATGGAACCGGATCCGACGAACACACGCACGACACGCCATGGAGATTGTTTCTTACTATGCACGTATAATAGCAGAACACTCTCCATAGACGCCGATCTTCACGCCCTTCTTGTAGTCGCAGACATTAAATTTTATGTGATCGCATTACAAGAAACAAAATTCAAGAAGACCGACATACGCCAACTAAACAATGGGACCCTTGTGATCCGTGGAGAAAAGGTCCCGTCACGAAATGTCGGTGGCGTAGGCTTTGTTCGTCTGGCAGCTGAAGTGCAATCATCTTGATTTTTTAATTAGCGAAGCATCGGTGGGCTCTGTGGATGTTTTTCCCAGGCTCTTCAACGTCGACCACAACTGCTGCTTTACGATCTTATCTTACCACCTTTCTGCAGTGTTTTACAAGTTCACACGTGAATTAGCGATCACCTATAGCTTCACTGATTTTACATTGACCTATCAACTGGAGCGTTTTTGAAAATTGGCATCCCTTGGTTGCTTTCGAACTCTCAGTTTTCACAGCGCTAACGTGAAGATGGTGAATAGGCCGGTCGTATTTCTCGCCCATTTAATTAATAGTGGGATCTTTCCAAGAGCTTACGAACGATCGGAATAGATCCCAGTTTATAACGATTTCCGGAATCCGTTTTTGAAATTAATGGCTACCGTTGCGTTAAAATCTTCAGTGACGACCTAAAAGAATGCGAAGTAGAATTCTCTGCGATGGAGATGACGCTCAGTCTCGTATTTTCTGCCACAGTCCCATCGATTGTTGAAAAGCTTCGATTTACTTTGATGTGCTCTACTTCGTTATGGTATTCTCATTTGGCTCTCACATCCGGCGTTGAGAGTCGCACTTCTGGAATCATAAGTTACCATGGAAGATGGTACTAGTTATTATAAACACAGCAGCCGTTCAGCTTGTTCTTTCGACCGTTGCATTAAAATCTTCAGCGACGACCTAAAAGAATGTGTGGCCTTCTTCGCGAAACTTCTCTAAGTCGTCATTGAACGCCTCGACTTCGTCTTCGTCATGGCTTGATGTCAGTGCGTAGATGATGAAGATTGTCCAATCTGGTATTGATTCACATCTCCTCAACCGTAAGCTTCCAACTTCGTTTTTTAGTTCTCCAAATGAATCAATGTTCATTTGGATGTATGTTACAGAAAATTTCGTGCTGTTGCTCTGCACGTGTAAGGGCGAGCGAGTGTAGTGCAGTGCTCAGAGACACCCTGCAACAAAACACTTCGCCATTTCACTGAGGCCCACCAAGCTTTCTATCCCTCGAAGTACTGGCAAATTGCTGCCAGACTAGGATAGGTCTATTAAAACACCGACTCAATGCGTTGATAGGTTGCAAAAAGTCGTTTTGAAAGTCAAATACGCTTTATGATGCCTAATGAAGTATAAATGGCGCATCCCTCGGTGATTGATCAACGCAGGGTGCTTTATCTTTTATGCTCTTGTTGCTTTGCAATAAACAGTGAGTATAAATACAGACAAAAGTTTACCCAATTTGGGGCTATTTTTGTGAAGAAAAGTCCCTATAAGCGATGTTTGTGACACCAGTTTCTTTTTCGTTGCCCACGAAATCCACTCAACTCAGTGGATGGTAGTAGTTATCAACAGCGTTTTATTTCTATAACAAGAGAGAAGTTACAGGCTATAAATCATAGTTTATAATATAAGCCCAACAATGACTGTAACATTGAACTCTTCAGAGCATTGGCGAATGCGGATGGTGTGGAGCAGTGGTTGAGAGCGTCACGATTTGCCGACAAAGCTTCAGTTGGCGATTGTGTGATGACGGTCGGCGAAAACGGCAAGATGATCACTGAACGGATAATCAAGGTATTCTGATGGGCTTTTTCGGCAGATGTGCGTCTTGTCAGTGGTGTTCTCCAGGTTGGACGGCAAATCTCCGAAGGCATCTACTCGCCGATGACAGTCACTGGGTCGCTTCTTGTTGACGACGTGCTGTCGTCATGCTTTTCACAGGTGGAAAGCCATACCGTTCAGAAGGTACGTCACGATAGGTTGTGCAACATCGAATTTGTTTTGATACCGGATATGATGCCTTGATTTATAAGAATATAGAACATAGCGCTGCTGTCCCTTAAACAGATAAGCAACAAGCGCCTATGCCAATTCCACCGCCAATTAATACGTATCATTTGCATAGTTCTTCGATCACTAGTGTATTCTTTCTTTGTTGATCAGTTTGATTAACGCTGATTACGAATTTAAAAGATAAAAAGGATAAGGCTGTCGGCGTTGATCAATCCCTAATGGATGCGCCATGCATTCGACTTCATTAAACAACGTTTGGAGGTGATTGAATTCATACCTGGCCTTTACAATCACTCGTGGTGGCCGACCGATGTATCGAACCAGCGCTGCTATTCTTCCAGACAAGTCTGGTACCAGTCTACCACCCTGGAGGGATGGAAGGCTTGGTGGGCCATGGGCGCGGATCGATTGCACGTGTTTGTTGAAAGGCGTCTCCGACCACTGCGCCATACGCGACTATAAATTACGTCATTAAAAACGTTATTTTTCTCAGCTAAATGACAAAATTTAAAAGCTTGAAAAAAATATGCTTTCCAGAATTGTGAAAATATTTGATACTTACTTGATACCTGAACAGAACAGTTTCTTACTTAGTTGATACTTGAATGGCCAGTCCTCACTAGTTGTGCGGGTACCAGCATACTCAACACTTCGGATATTTGCCGGTTAAGCCATTGTGGTTCTCTGGGATGCCGAGGTCGTCACCACCACAGGCAGTCACAGCCATTGTGGATCAGAGGAGATTTGTCACCATGCGGCTTGGATACCAGGACCGTAGTGGATCCTGGTATTGGTTTACTCTTAGCTCGGCTTCCTGATGGGAACGCCGGACTCCATCTCAGCTTGGGAGACCCTGCCGTGAAAATAACACAATATTATTTAGCTAATGTATGCGAGTAAACTAAATTTCTTAGCGATATCTTTTCAGATTGTGTTCGACTTTTTCGTTTATGTTCGAGAACTTTTTGGTCTCCATTCAGGTAAAGCGTCTTCTTCCTTGAAGTTATGTTTGCTTCTGTAATCCATTATTTTCCAGAACAAAGCGTTGAGCGAAAAGGAATCCCACCGTTCATTAGTTACGTCTACGAGTTGAGTCATATCATCCTACCATTCTCCAACTTCTAATCTCCCCAGTTTTCCTCACTGATGACAATGGATCCTATTTCTTCTGGAACACAAACAACAATCGTCATCCGACTTAGGCGTCACATGAAGACGTTGCCCACATTGTACATGACTTGATGACAATTTTGTTAAATAGGCTTTGTTAAGAGTTGTGAAGAATTATTCGATTATTATTATTATTACCGCTTGGTATTTTCGAATTAATTACATCGAAGAATCGTCATTAGTTTCTAACTAAGCAATTATTGATTAAGATGTTGCTGGCCGATTAGGATCGATTTATTCGTTATCATCCTTCTAAAGTGTCAATCGTTTCGGTGTCCACACGGGTTCTGTGTCTTTCTGGAGAGTTAAAAGTGCATTACTGTAGTAGTCAGGATCCTTTCAGCTGTCCATTATTTCCCATGTGCTATATTGTAGAGTTTATTATTACTAGATTTTTATATTTCTATCAGTATATTTAACAGAGGGCTTAATAAAATGAACACTTGTTCTGTTTTTTCCTTTATTTCTCTACTACGTGTCTCGTACTACTGCAAAAGCCATGAGTCCGGTCAACCAAATATCTGTCGATGTCATATTTTATTGATTAGTCCTGTATAAATCCAATTTGAAATTCTTCGATTGTGTGGCATAAATATTTCAAATGAATGGGTCCAAACATAATAATTATCCATAAGTTCTCGTTTTTCATGGGAAACAGGTCTATGAAGGTCTTCTAATTTGACTGTGGTTTTAGGTGCTTGAGGATTTTTGGTCACCCTTATGAATGCTGTTAAATGCTGGTCTAGTCTATTCTCCTTACAGTCCTCTGATAGCCGTGCTAGGCACTTTCCAGGTTTTCACCACAGACAGTCGCCAACGTTTGTGGATCGAAGAGATGGGACTGTTGCTGTACAAGTTTGGTAGCAGTCTCCCGACAACGAAGAGGTCGGAAGCATAGTTTTCCCAGGAGGGGTCGAACGAACTAATGTGCTAACCTTACGCATACTGAACAGCGCCTACATAATAGCTTTCAAGCTGATGCGGAAAAAGACAAAGGATAACGCGTTTTTCAATGATCAATCCGTGATGGATGAACCATGCTTTCGAATGCGTTGGGCTTAGTTGATAGCATACTTGACCTATGTAATACACATATATATAAAATATATACGCGATGGCCAGCTAATATATCAAGTCAATGTTTCTACCTTGTTAGAACGAACCAGCGGCCGATCAAGTGTGTCCCCAAAGTGCACCTTAGTCTTTGCCCGTCCGAAAACTGACATTGGAATATAACAAAAGAACCATTCCCAAGTCTGTCGTTAAAGTTGCTTTTAGTTTCAATTGAGGAAATCGAGCATGATGCTGTTACATATCCTGAACCCTATTCATGATGGCGAAGTAAGCGAAATACCCGTCTCAACTGGTTTTTTTCTTCTATCAGTGACTTCGTATCAATTTCTACAGTGATAGAATTTCTGAGTCATTCTTTCATATCTGCCGAGAGAGGTGAGTTTCCAGCCATTGTTAATATTCAGAATGTAAGGTAACCCCGAAGCACTTCGTATTCTGGATGAGACAAGTTTTTCCTTCACTCGTGGAGTTCTAGAGTTCACTAAGGCTTTATATTGCTTAATGCGATGTATTGGTGATGCCAAACGATTGGGTGAGATTATCATATTTGTCGTCAGTGTGATTGCTAAGAGCATTGAAAAACTAATAACAAGCAGAAACACCAGAAACACTCAATGATGGTGTGAATTTGAGGATGACGAGGACCGAATCGACTCTCGTTTCTGCAAGAACTCCTCCATCGTCCATGGATCGCCTACCCCAGACTGAGGCTAATGCTTCTCCACCGAAGAAGGAACTCCATGCTCAAAATACGCAGACATCGTCTCCTCCTTTAAAAGCTCCAACCGCACACTCTCCAACTAAAATACGTGAACAACCTCGCCCTCAGGCAAACACACCATTAACAGGTTTGAGCCGAGGATTTCAAAGTGAGCATGACATTACACTTAACGTTGCCTTTTTAAATTCTACAGAAACTGTCGCTGTCGAACGGGTTGCTAAGCATTCCCAAAAAGAAGGCAAAGGTGAGTATAGGAAAGGCGATAAAGTCCCGGCAAGATCTGCACGCTCGATAGCAGAAAGGGCCGAATTTGTGGTGGGTTCTCATATTCACCCTCTAATCTCTCAGTACCAATCCAATTTTTGACCAACCTAGTTAAATCCGTTTGGAATGCGCCATCATCACCCACTATTTCATTTGGTACCGTTGCAGCCACCTATTGAGTACTTGGATGTGTCACGAATTGCCATTCGTTTCTTGCAATCCCTGATGTTCTGCGAAATGTTACTGCATCTCTTTGGAATACCTCTTGCCATGCACGAAGCCCAATTGTTTTTCAATTATCGGTGGGTTCTGTTCTCCTTTAGTCGTCTCAGAATTACTTCGAGATCTTAATGATTTTGAAAACCTGCTGCTGGAAAACCCTTGAAAACACGTAGAATCGATTACTATCGTGGAGAAAACACACTCCAGTTCATTCTAGCTGCTTCTCATTCTGAATAGTAGTTAACCAATGACGGAAGGACACTATTCGACGTAGCTCTGCAAACGGAATACGAGCAATTTTTCGTCGGTTGCAGACTTCATGTTTCCTTTTTGACCATGAAAATACTTTTCCAATAACTAGTCTGCTTCAGGGGCGGACAGCACAGTGGTAATGATGTCCGTCATCATGAGCATGGCTCTAGCTCGATTCCGCTCCGGATCAAACAAGCCTCTCATCCCTCCAGCGTCGAGAAATTGGCACCGTCCTTGTCTGAAAAAGAAATCACTCTCTGCAGTACAATTGGAAACGCTCCAACCCGGCCATCCCAACACTCCAAGGAGAAATGCTCTACCAGCATTCTACAACATTCAAGATGAAGTGAAAACCTTCAAGTAATAACCGAAGCCACACGTAAAAGTTGGAAGATCTTCGTGGATACTGGTTGCAAGGAAACGAATCGAATGTGAGAAGTGCTGGAATCCGCACAGTACACGTGAAGACGGATCATATAAAATAAAAAAGGCCTCCTTCAAGGGACATGGCAGGGTTTTATAAAAGACCTTCATTCCATGCGTATGAGTAGTGTGTACGCTTCTATTATTGGCAGACTATTGGCCAAATTCACTTGTAGAGTAGTGCCACTGCTGTGGTTTATGGAAATACATTGCTGTTAGTATTTGGATGTATTTTGCACCGTATGTTGAGTCACTTGGTAACTTTCGAACTCTCAGCTTTCATAGCGCTAACGTAAAGATGTTGAATGAGCCGATCGTGTTTCTCGTCGATGTTATCAACAACGGTATCTTCCCAAAAGCCGACTGAAAAATTGGATAAGTCCCAGTTTGCGGTGGTTCTGGGACTTCGGTTGTGGAATTTAGCGGGTTCTTCTCCTTTTCGCGAAAAATAGAATCTTGCACGAAGGAGACTATTGTCTAATCCCGTGTAGAATTTCGGGACAACAACGGCATCTTCTCAACAACTGACTAATGAATTGAATAAATCCCAGTTTACGGTGGTTGTGGGACTTCGGTTTTTGAATTTAGCGGCTTTTTCTCTTTTCCGCGAAAGATAGAATCTTGCACGAAGGAAACGATGGTCTGATCCCGTGTAGAATTTTGGGACAACAACGACATCGGTTAGGCAAAACCTTCTATTTACTATGATGTGGTCTATTTCGTTGTGGTACTCTCTATTGGGAGACTCCCACGTCCAGCGCTGAGGGTGGGGCTTCTGGAATTGCGAGTTACCATGAACTGTCTTGGTCGCCACGATAAACTCAGATAGCCGCTTACCTTGTTCGTTCCACTCTAATCCGTGGGTTCCAATGCGAAATTTATCAGCCTCTTCGTCATAGTTTGATGCCTGCGAGTAAATGACGAACACTATCAAAGCCGATACTAATCCATATCTCTTTAATCGTAAACGCCAGATTCGGGTAGTTAGCTGTCCGAATGAATCGATATTCATGGACAAACTCGTGTTGACGAGAACGCCGGCACTGCCAACTACTCTACTGTCGCATGTTCCGAAGAACAATTCTTCTCCAGTATCATACACTGCGTTGAATAGTAGTGTCATCTCGACTCGGCCAGGCCGACGACGTCGTACTTTATCCTTCTCGCTTGCATGATCAAGTCTTCTATCGAGAACTCGGGTGCAAGTGTACGTGTATTGTAGGTAGAGATCGTCGCCTTAGTTCTTTGCGATCCAGGCAGCTTAAATTGGCCGTGAGATTTTACCAGCCTCTCCGTACTCGTCCTACTCAACGCTGTGAAATTGGGGCTCTTTCGGGGTCAGGGGATAAAAGAAGATCTTAAAGAGAGAAGAACAGCAGTAATGGTCGAAGCTGCAGGTGCTGGGAAGAGCATTAGCAAAGTCCACCGAAGCTTCGCCAGTTACAAGACCAAGATGATTGCACTACGGCGCTCAGATGGAACAGTTACAGTGTCCAGAAAGGACCTCCGGTTCTCCCTTCCGAAAACCGACGTGCGATTTCGGTGAAAAATCGAGCAGCATCAAGTGCGGACAGGATAAGATCTGAACACCTGAGGAACCCTCCGCCAGTCCTCGTAAGCACACTGGCTCGGCTTTTCGCACGTTACTTGTCTGAATGCAAGGCCCCTACTTAGTGGAGGACCAGCAAGACCGTGTTATTGTTCAAGACGGGTGACCTACACGATATCGGCAACTATCGCCCAATCTGCTTCCTGTCTGTCGTCTACAAACTTTTCACTCGATCATCCTAAACGTGAGCAAGCAGGGTTTCGACAAGGATTTAGTATAGTAGACCACATCCACACGATAACATGCCTCATTGAAGTATCACAAGAGTACAAAAGACCTCTCTGTCTCACTTTCATCGATTTACAGAAGGCCTTTGATTCAGTTGAGATAGAAGCAATTTTCACCACCGATATATCATTATTCTATAACGACATAGATATCGGCATCAAACGATGGATTAGGCAAGGCAATGCCATCTCACCAAAAACATTTACCACTACCCTCGAGAACGTCATGCGAACGCTGGAGTGGGACAACATGGGAGTGAAAATCGATGGTCGGCTGTTACACCAACTTCGCTTTACTGAAAGCATCGTCCTTATAACAACAGACATTAGCCAAGCAGAATATATGCTTGCCGACTTTGATAAAGCCTATGGAAAGATTGATCTTCGAATAAATCTCACAAAAGGATGCTTATGAGGAATGGATTGGATTCGTATGCCGCATTAACGCTCAGCGATTTTCTCCGAACGCTCCAGTTTTGTTTATCTAGGTCGAGAAATCAACATGATGAACGACTTAGCTCCAGAGTTGAGCAGAAGGAAACGAGCGTCTTGGGGAGCTTGAGCTTTCAAGAGCATCGAGGATGTAATGTGGAGAACAAAGAACACTCAACTCTGTGCCACCTCATTAACTCAACGGTACTTCTTGCGTTAACGTATGTGTCAGGAACCTGGTCGCTGCGCAAACAGGATGAAAGATCATTCAGTGTTATCGAACGCGCAGTCGAAAGGACGATGCTAGGAGTATCCCGTTCCACACAAGTTCGGGATGGGATCTGAAAATCCGACCTGCGTCAACGATCAAAAATCAAAGATGCCGTTTTGTATGCCAAACAGTTGAAGATAAGGTGGGCGAGACACGCAATGCGTATGAATGACAACCGATGGACAAGACCCGTTATTGCCTGGATTCCTCAGGATGTTAAACGCACTGCAGGAAGAGCACCGACCCGATGGTCAGAGTTCCTCACGAAAAGCCTAGAAAAAAAGACGTGAGGCTCAACGAGTTGCTAGAGCGTGCAGAACACACTGGGCTACTCTGCACGCGACAGGGAAAAATGGAAGACTTCCTGGCGTTCGCTCGAGTCAGTCGACGATCAACGGGACTACAGGTGATACAGATGATATTGAGTTTATTTTACTACAACACTGAAAGTGTTCTTGTTATCACGGCATTTCATAAAACAAACATAAGGGATAAAGGATGAAGCTCTCAGTGTTGATCAATCCCTGAGGAATGCGCCATGCACACGACTTCATTAAGTATCACTGGAGGTGATTGAATGCACACCTGGTCTTTACAATGACTCGTGGTGGCCTACCGATGTATCTAGCCAGTGCTACTATTCTCCCAGACAAGTCTGGTACCAATTTGCCGACTCTGGAGGGATGGAATGTTTGATGGTCCATGGGTACCGAGATCGATTCCACGTGTGTGTCCAGTGGCACCTTAAACCACTGCGCCACCCGCGCCCTAAAATAAACATGATCATTAAAATTAAATAACTGTTATTTATTACGTCTGAAGGAAGGGCGAAACGAAGGGCTTGCGTGATGTGGTGGTGAACACGTTACCACCTGGAAAAGGCAGTAGAGTGTTCGTTCCTTATGCTCTTTCACGAGCGTAATTGGACACTTTGTCTTTTGTCGCTTATCTTTAAAAATTCCATAGTCACTTAGCTTCAAGAAAAGCTAAAAAGGTGTGAACGCAAAAATTGATACCCACTTAATGCGTTGGCTTCCAGCAAGCCGATACTTTTTAAACCTGATATTAAAGAATGTGTCCTAGTTCGGACTTCATTCTTGTAACTTTAACTTCATCGGGAAATACGGGGTTAGGTCGCGTATGACCTCTGGGCGTTCATCCCTGCTATTCATTGTAGGATTTTTGGCATTTATCCAAAAAGCCTCAAGAAGTTTTCCCGCTGGTGTTTTAGTCCCCTGTGCAAGGATATTGACCTTCATTTCAAAATCGTCTCCACTGTGCTTTTGTATCCTATGCGTTCCTAGTGGGGTCCTTTGTCTTAGTTTTCGTTTGCCGTCTAGGTGTCCTTTTATGCGGATACATAAAGTTCTGCTCGTTTCGCCAATATATTATATTCGACATTTTATTTTGAATTTTATTCATTGCTGAACAAGGAAACGACGCATTCATAAAATAATGTGCTCATAAGTAAAATCGGGCATTTGAAGAATTTCGGCTCTATTTCATCTCATAATGTGTTGATTTTTTCGATAATTATTTCTTTCAGAAAAGCCCTTGGTGACCACATTGTTCTGGGCTCGATGGTAGACCCAACTGCTGAAGCTTTTGCCGTTTTGATAGCATTTCGCTCCATCTATGGAGTTTTTTCGATAAAGTACGTAATTCCTTCAGTCATCTTGTACAAATATTGAACTCTGTTATAGATGAATTGACTTCATGAGTGAAAACACCGGGAAAACTCTAATAATGAAAAACGATTGCTCTCGGTTAATCTGGCGGTATTGACTGGAGAAGTTTCTGGAGCAATGAGGGGCTTCCTCTTGAGCGATTAATTGTAAGGCTCGTTGTATTTATCCCGCTCGTTAACTGAGACAATTAGAACAGCAGACCATTGAGCAGAGCTATTAAAAATTTTAGCACTAACTGTGAAACTGCATGGCGCGATGAAATTCGGAAGACATTCAGAACTCGTGTTAGTCATCCCCAAAACAATGTACCACGATGTTTGAGCGTAAGTGTGAAAGCATCAGTACTGTGCGTACTCGACTGTGCTTTTTGCCTGCGATGTCCGATGGCGGGCCAAACGTTTAGAAAGCGTTTGCATCAAACTGACGTCTAATCAGAAATGTCACGTTCTAATGCTTCTTCATAGATGATAGATTTCGATTTCTGACTCTTCCGGAAAGATTTTAATCATGTTAAGTCTTCTATTTTTTTTTCATCCAAGACAAATCGGTGGTACTTATGTTGCCAAGTACTTATTTATCTTCGGTCTTCTCTTGTCATAGAAGAACAACACACTTCATTCGGTCTTTCAAAGTCAAAAAAGATGGAGCCATGAATCAAACTTATTTACCAAATCTTTTGAAATGCTTTGCATGCACTTTTTATTCAATTTTATCCAAGCCACCGGTAAGGTACTTCCCGTACGTTCTAAAGGGCCAGTCGTACAGACATCAAGTATGGTTTGTGAACACATGTTAGTCATGTTATCCTAGGTCTACCAAAACTTCCCTTCGAAAGTGTTCTATTGGTAGAACGATCGTCTACGAGACACACTGCGGTCACCTTCTCGTCGCTCAGCTTTTGAGATTGCTATGGGCGGTGCAATTCGAGTATTCATCGCTTTAGAGTATCAACATCTTTTTAGACGAACGTCATGAATGAACCAGTACCGTCACTCATTAGCTAACAAGCTGCACATTAATTAATTTTGAAATCAGTTGATAAAGTAAGCATTATTGAGATGTTATCTATTCTACAAGTGAGCTTGGAAGCTTTCCTAAGTAGATATGAATGTTCTAGGCACAAAAATGGTAAATTTGTCGAAAATACTTCGATTAAAAAGATGAGAAAATTTTATCAAGCATATAGCATTGAAGAAAGATTTCGACGCGAAGCATTAACTTTCTAGCTTTACAAGGCCATCGATGGTAAGCCGAGCCATTCAACGACTCATGGCACTGATTATGTCGCATTTGATATTTGGAGTGGTAATCCTGGCCGCAGGTGAGACTTTGAAAGGTCTTTGATTGTTCTGTTTAAATTTTTTAAAATTGTTACAGATACTGTTCTGGTTTGCATCCGTGGCAGTTCATTTATAAGCTGAAACGTTATTACATTTATTCTAAAGTCTTCCCAATACATATTTATACTCTGTCATGACGTTTAACGAACTTGTTTAAAAACAGCCAAGAAAAACAACGTTTTCAGCTATAAGGCTGAGATATTTGCAAAACCCCGGACCGCAGGTGTCTACGGTGGGGAACGAACGCGCTGTTATCCTTACCGGGGAGTAACGGCGTTCACCACCACACTACTATAGCCTCAGCTTAACTGGGTTCAGTGCCGATTTGGGCTCCCCAGATCAATCCCGTTGACGGGTGATTGCTGATGGCAAAAGACCGATAGAACTAGCTGAGAGGCAGGTGAAACGAAGGACCCGCATGGTGTGGTGGTGAACGCGTTACTCCCCGGAAAGGACAATAGCGCGTTCGCTCCCAACCGCAGACACCTGCGGTCCAGAGTTTTGCAAACATCTCAGCATTATAGCAGTTATATTTCGCAAAATACCCTGCAGTTAAAAAGAATAGGCAGTAAATAAAAAGGTTTAAAAAGTTTTCAGCATTTAAATTTCGAGTTAACCCATCACCAAGACGGAGAGGTGGTTAAAAGAGCAAAATGGATGCGTTATAACACCATTGTTGACAAAATGATTTGCAGTCAAAGATCTGGTTACAGATCTCCCTTACGGAGGAATTCTCATCAGATTAGTTGCGAGTCTATTTGGCACGACTGCAAGTGGCATTCAGTAGGTTAAACGTGAACAGAAAACCATGTTTTGCTTCCCTAAAACGCAGGGGATTCCAAACGATAGACTCCTTGTTCTATAAATTAGTATAATTCCTTTTATCCCGAAAGAGCCATCGATTCTATGGCGTTGCCTAGAAAGAGTACGAAAAGAAGGCTAAAACCTTAGAGCCACTTTAGGCTGGAAAACTAGAGAAACTAACGTGACGATCTGTACCTGTGATGCATCTGCGCTCTTTGTTGAAGACCTGATCATGCGAGCTAGGAGGACAAGGTGACGTCATCGGCCTGACAGAGACAAAGGGACTCCGGCAATTCATCGAATTCCACAGCGGTTCCTGTAGCATCAGAGGAGTAGGCGGTGTCATTCATGGTCACTTGCAATTTCAAATGCCCGGCCTTTAAGGAGGGGTATGGGAGTCTCTCAGTGGAGAGTACCATAACGAAATATTCCACTTCATATTTCTCGCCGATACGACGGAAAGCCGACGAGCTCGAAAAACAATACCCCAAGAGCACCATAATTGGTATTCATTCATTTCACTGATCAGTCGTAGGAAGGATGCATTTCTTGATAATATCGACGAGGAATACAACCTACTCATCCAACATGTTAAAGTTAGCACTATGAACACTGAAAGGCTGAGATTTCAAAAGAATCCAAGGGATTTCTGCGTCTAGACATGCTCTAGCTGTTTCGCCAACGTGGAATCGGTGGAGCTACAGGCAAGCGCAAACTTACGCCTGAAGTTGAAAAACGGCATGAAAAGACTATAAAAGAGGGCCTTAAAGTGAGTATAGGAGCAGTCGTGGTCGAAGCTGCAGAGGCTCGGAAAAGCATTCGCGAAGGCCATTGAAGCTTCGCCAGTTGAGAAACCAAGTTGATTGCACTCCGACGCCCATGTGGAACACTTAATTTCCAGAAAGGCAATAAAGAATATCGTTTGCGATTACTACTCAAATCTCTTCAACAACGACGCCCTGCGGCTCTCTCTTGCGAAATCCGGTATGCTATTTCATTGGTGAGCAATCGAACAACACTAGGCCCGGAAAGGACAAGGCTTAAACACCTGTAGAATCCTCTCCAAGTCTTCATGAAAGCAGTGGTCCTGCTGCTCATAAGTTGTTTGTCTAAGTGCAACGCCTTCATTAAATTGAGGATTAGAAAGACTGTTTTATTGTTTGCAAAGAGCGATCTCCACGATATCGACGGCCATGAAAGCTAGTAGTGTTTCAAAAAGGATTCAATGCAGTAAACCACGTCAGCAAAATAACGAGACTCAAGTATAGCGAGAGTACGAGGGATCGGTCTATCTCATAGACATTGACTTAAAAAAAGCTTTTGACTCAGTGAGACAGAAGTAGTCATGGAACCTCTGCAGAGCCAGAGAACTCGTGCGCGACAAGGACAAATGAAGATCTTATTGGGGTTAGCTCGAGTCACTCGACGTCCAACGAGAGGAGTGTAACAGATGTTATTCGTTGATTGACTGGTTGCCAACCACCATAACGAAAGATTTGCACTGTCTAAGTTTTTAAATGCTACAATTGAAATGGAAAATATCACCTAAGAGAGTTCGTTCGGTGATGAGCACCCGTTGTCAACGGAGAACAACAACCATACGGTTGCCTCACAGCACTCTTGCATCGTTGTTGATTTGTTACTTAACTCTGCTATTGCAAGCTTAATTGTAATTATAATCGCTAAACGGGCAAGTATTATAGGCGTGTGTAATAAATGTACTCATGTCGTAAATGCTTACGTCCTTTGTGTTGCCTTGAATAAATCGTATTTCTTAAGCTTCAAAGAATGTGTAGATGAATCAATTTCAATGTTAACTTTTTACTTACTGCCTATTGCATTTTTTCACGGCAGAGGATTATGTGTAATACAACAGCAATAATGCTGGGATATAACTTCTATAATGCTGAGATATTTGCAAAACTCCGGACCGCAGGTGCGTGCGGTGAGGAACGAACGTGATATTACGCACTATTACTCTTTCAGGGGTCTAACGCATTCACCACCACACCATGCTTTCACCGGCCTCTAAGCTAATTTTCCACCCATCAGTGCCATCAGGAGCCACCTGTCAACGAGATGATCTGGAAACAAGCGAAACAAAGGGCCCGCATGGTCTGTTGGCGAACGAGTCATCCCTCAGAAAGGGTAATATCGCATTCGTTCTCCACCGCAAACACCTGCAGTCCGGGGTTTCGAAAATACCTCAGCACCATTGTGGTTGGATCAATTTCGCTGAAAAATAAACACCTTAAAAAAACAATGAGATATGAAGTTGAACAAAGGCTCCCTACGTGGATGCATCCATGTGACTAGTCGCCAGTGGTGGTTATGAGTGCTGGAGAGTCGTGTTGCTTTAAAGAAAAAGCCTTTTTATGAGCAAAGCTGTATCTTCTCATTCACACTCGAGAACCACGTTTTATGGTCTTCGTTATTTGAACTCTCTTATTAACTTGAGCTGAGCAGAAGAGGAGCAGATCATGTCAAGTAGTGTTTCTGCTTCGTTAAGAAGAGCAAAAATTCAAAAACCAGAAACAAATCAACTTCTTTATCAGTAAACGCAAATTGGACACGTTAACCCTTTTGTTAGCATACACCTTGATTCCACTGCGCACCTCAAGTATGCTCCAATGAGGCACCTTCCGATGGACCGACCAGCCAAGAGAAAATGGCTTTATAAAATATTTATTATAAAATACTTATAAAAGGCCCTTTCGCATGGTGCAATGGAATCGGTGGATATAAAGAACATGAAACAGACACAGAAATATGTTTCAACTATGACACGAAACTATGCGGAATGCTGAGAACATCATGGTTAGATAAGAGACAATTTTTTTTTATCACCTGCAACAGTTACTTCATACAGAAGAGGTGTCCAAGAGCATGGGAACATACACAAAGGAGTACAACGGATGCGTGGAAGTCAGGAGGTATGGAAGGGATAATGAGAGAACTACACATTAGAATGATTGCCGTATGGAAGCAGTGCGTTGTACCTCTTGTGGGCTTTACAGGCCATATTTTTTGATTTCAATGCGCTTCTCAGTCGCGCTCCAATAACACCCACTCCCGAACCCGGAGTGCGAAAATGACACGAGCTAGTGAGAAGTATGATATACACAGATCCCGAACAAAAGTATTTGAATGGGATTGGCTGACGTAGAAGCAGGTACTATTTTATTTTTTGTTCAGCTTGGTTTGATTTCGCTCTCTAAAAGTCTGTGATTATTCAAATTCCTCTCTCATTAAAAATATTCGAGTGCAGATGTAGGGAATTTTTATTCAGCCGGCATATTTGAAGCTGAAGTGCGGACGGACGCCGTTCGAGAGGTTGTCACAAGGAACGTGGCTCATCTGATTCACTTTGCAACGAGGGATGCCAGCTATATGGCGGTTTAGTTTGCCACTCAACCAAGTTTTTCATTCCTTAAATGTTTGGTTATGTGGTAAAAAAAATATTTAGAATGGTTATCTTATAGTCGAAAAGAAAAAGGACTAATTTTGGTACAAAAATAGCACATTGATAGCTTTTTATATGTTTTTTTCTATTTTTCATCTATTATAGTTATGATACTTCCCAAAGGTTTACCGTCTCATCGTGGCTGGAATGTTGCTGGGTGCCGGTCTACGATGTGCAACAAGGGCATTCATCCCCGCGGCAGGACTCCCTAGCTGAGAAGGAGCCCCGCGTTTCCATCAGGAAGCCTAGCTAAAAGTAAACCAATGTCAAGATGTACCACTGTCTTGGTATCAATATCGCATGGTGGCAAATCTCCCTATGGTCCACAAAAGCTGCGACTGCCTGTGGTGGCGAAGACCTGGGGCAGACTTTGACCTCGGGACTCCAGGGAACCACAATGGCTAAACCAGCAAAACTCCGAAAAGATGGAGATTATGCTGGAAGCCGCACGACCAGTGAAGACCGGCTATCCAAGTACCCAAGTAAGTAAGTACAGTTATGATATATTGTTACAAATTTCGACATAGAATTACCCAGCTCAAAAAAAGTTGCTTCGGCTTTGTAAGTCGAATACAAGGTTCGATAAAGCGTAGTTCCATTCTTCTTTGGTTTCGTTTGTTCTTCACAACTTTTTTTCAGGAAATGAATCGTCTACAACAAAATCTGAAATGCTGTGGGATGAAAACTGATGTTCGGCTGGGCAATGGTTTGAACTTTTCGGCTCTTTTCTGTTATGTTTTTCCTTTCGTATTTTTCAGTTATGTTTTTTTTGTGACAGACATAAAAAGAAATGTGGTGAAAAAGTTTGCTGTACGAAGGTGATTAGAATGGATTCGAAATGCTTATGGATTTTTTTCGTAAGATGTCAAAGGAACATCTCACTATCGTATTAGAAACTGGAAAGTCGTTCTTATTGCTCTAGGAACTCGCCTAAACGTTGACCATCCGTGGAATATGTGGTTCGCTGCCTATTCACTGGACGACACTTATCCGAATGCGATCAGGTGTATGGTATTCGTTTTGGAAAAGCTAAGCCTTCGTTTTTCCTTTTTACAGTTTTCTTTCTCGTTCATTAAATTTCTCTCTTAAATATCTCGAGCACTTGGACACTTGGGCGGCCCGTCCTCAGTGGTTGCGTGGATCCTAGCATAATCTCAATTTTTGGGGGTGTTGCTGGCCTAGTCATTGTAGTTTTCTGGAGGCCTGACCAAAGTCTGCCCTAAGTCCTCACCACCACAGGCAGTCGCAGCTCCTGTGGATCAGAGGAAGATTTACCACCATGCGACTTTGATATCACGACGGTGGTGGATCCTGGTATTGGTTTACTCTTAGCTAGGCTTCCTGATGGAAACGCTGGACTCCTTCTCAGCTTGGAGACCTTGCCGGTAGGATGAATTTCCCGCTGTACATCGCAATCCGACAGCCAGGAAAACCTCTTAGCCACGATGAGGCGGTAAACCGTTGGGAGGTTTTTAAATAACACCTAGTTGAAATCGTTGATATCAAAACGAAGTGAATTAATATTAATTTCGACTTTTTGTGTTCACTGCCTGTTATTATTTTCCACGGTAGGGTAGTGATGTAAAATGTTACCGCTGTAATGCTAAGATATTCGCAAAACTTGGACCACAGGCCAGATTAGACCCTGCGATTACCCTTTACCCGGGTGCTCACGTGTTACGCACGACAACACTGAGGTCTTTGGCCTTTCTCTCGGCCAGTTTTCCAACTAACGGTGCCATCAGCAACAAATCAGCAGTGAACCCTGTAAAACTGAGGCTCTAGTCGAAAAACGTTACTTTTTGTTTACTGTATGATTTTTCACGGCAGGGTATGATGTTAAATACAGAACAGATTTCCTTTAAGAAATCGTCAGCGAATGTTTTGCCACCACAAAATGTTGATGAGAGTAAAACATTTTTACTTATTGTTGACTTGAGCCTGACTCTTCACTGGCTTTCGCTACGATCTAGATGATCCAACCATTATTTTTTCATAAATTTCCTTTTCTAGTTTACACCATTCTGAGTGTCTCAAACCCTTTTTCTCCTTAATGTTTTCATTGTTGAAGTACTTTAAAATGCAATAATCCAGGGAATTATATTCGCTACCATGGTCTTGCTGTAATCTGACCAGGCACTCGAAATGTGAACATATTGGAGTGTCTCGATACTTACGAACATTCGACACACCAACTGATTTCAATGACGTCGAGAAGGCGCTCGACGTCAACCGGCTGAAATGGGTTGGTCGCAATCACCATCTTAAGTTGTTCTGTGATACTATCTCTCATAAGATGATGCTACAAAAATCAACAGTAAAATTGACTTTGCCAGAAGTTCAAACTTTTATTAATGTACATATGATTAGCACAGCAGTAATTTGAAGTAACCTACAATACCCTCAGCACCCTTTGTTCGTTCAATCCTGCACCTAAACCAACCAAGCCCTCCATCTCTTCGGAGCCGCTAAATTGGTGTCGTTCTTGTTTAGGAAGATCGCATTCACGTTCACTTAGCAGATCGCTGGTCTTCCAGAAGTTATTGTTCAAGCCAAATATGCATTTGGTCGGCTCTCCAATACAACGAACAGAATTGAATGCATAGCGCATCCCTGAGAGAATAACCAACTCCGAACGCTTTATGCAAATCTTTATCGTTACGCAACTTAACCATCGTTGAGTAGTGAACTAATATTACCAATGTGAAGAATTGCGTAGGCATTAGTGGGCGGGGGATTTTAGCGTCTATGAACGAATTGAGAGCCACGATTTTCACGAAGGCGGTCGCCATTTCTCTGTTCTGGTATAAAATTCTTCCTACTTCCTGTATCGTCAATAGAGATGTCGTGTTGCACTGCTCTACATTGTGTTGATATACATCTCTCAGACGCATCACAATTATTGCTATTTCAGAATCCGACCACATTCGATCACTATCTGGAACGAAATGAAATGGCAATAGCGACACTCTACAACAGCGACTGCGTGGTTGAGTTGCTTCAGCGCGTTATCACTCAAGTCGAAATCACCAAAACTCGCTTGCAGCGAGCAGGTTGTTCGCTAACAACGTATGGCAAAAATTTTATTTTGTTATTTTATGGTGAAACTTTTGCTGAACTGTCATTGCTCAACAAGCAAAGGTTCCGACGGGACGCTTAACGAAATTTTTCACCTCCTACTTAAGTAGGGCGTGATAGCGCAGTTGAGGGGAGGTGCTCTGCTATACACATAGCTTCGACCTCCTACCCTAGGCGACCTCATCAGGCGTTCCATTTTACGTGATCGGAAAATTGGTACCAGACCTCTCACTCTAGCAGCACTGACTCGATACATCGCTAGACTACTGCGAGACAAGGGTGAGGGCAGATATTCACTTAGTCATCTTTAACGACGCTTGATTAACTCGAATGCTCTGGCCCATTTGAGGGTTTATCGGTTACTCGTAGATTTATTTCTTGTTTTTGACTGATGAGATTCTGCTTGAATACAGTTGTTTATGGAAGTCCAACATGACCACGTTTAGGCGATCCTAGACCTTCGCTTTAGGCGGTTGTTGGCTGTTTTAGGTCGTCTTATATAGCGAATTAAGGACTTTAAGCTAGGACTTAGCTAAAAGGGCATCACTGAGTAAGGATGCCTCATTCGAGGAGATGGCTCACTGAAGAAGACCTGACTCGACACGAAGGCGAAGTTGCCACGTCGAGACGAATAACAAGCGAGGACTATCGACTCGGAGACTCGGATCATCGGCTCTGAGGAAGACGAAGACGTCGAAACGTTAGCCGAAAATAAACATCATTATCAACCTCGTGTAAGCTCATCAAAGAAAGAATACTTTAAGCTACTTTATAAGTCCTACCAAAGTTCAGTGAGCCTAATTTTTATAGTCAGTATTGACTAGGAAGGTTGGCACGGCGGAAATGGAAAAACTATCTCTCAGCTAGTTTTACCAATCAGTGCCATCAGTAATCACCCGTCAACGGAATTGATCTGGGAAGCCCAAATCGGCAATGAACCAAGTTATGCTGAGGCTGTAGTCCAAATCACAGTGTTAACTTTTTATATTGTTCAGCCCCTGGAAAGAGCAATAGCGCGTTTGGTCCCCACCGCAGACACCTGCGGTCCGCAGTTTTGCAAATACTTCAACATCATTGTGGTTGATTCACACATAATACTATGTCGTGAAAAATTGTAATAGGCAGTAAATAAAAAGTTAACATTGTGAAAAAAGCCGTTTTCAGCAGAGCAGTTTAAACTTATTCGGAAGACTACAATACAATACAATTTGGTTCAAGAAGATAAAACTTTCGTAAAATGTTCTTCTAGATCTTCGATTCGCAAAGATCCGAAATTTGATGGTCTTATCAAATATAACTACTACTACCTTTCTTAGTAAAGCTAATATGGCGTTTAGAGAGCTTACATGAAGTTCAATTTAAGGTGTCATAACACTTGTCTTCTCGCTGCCGTTGGTGTTCGCAATGCTTCATCTACTGTTTGTTATAAAAACTGACAAGAAAACTGGTAAGTACCGAGATGAACTTTTTTAGAATCATTTTGCATTTACTCTGACTTAGTTTGCTCGATTTCAATGGTTATGCGGCTTCAGCAAAATTTACGTTCGCTTCATTCTCGCGCAACCGTCTTCTATGGTGGTGGCCTGCTCCGAACGTGGTGACTTGTGCAAGGCCCATCATGCAATCCTGAAGTCGCCCATATGCAAATGCAGATGGCTGGTGGTAGCCGTCAACAAGTCAGCCATAGTTTTGATGGTATTCCAAGAGGACACTCGCTTTCTCTTGGAATCCACTCCACTGTTTTTTTTTGGTCCTTCTGTTATCTGTTCTTATTATGTGGTCGTCCGATCTGTATTTCGCCACTAATGTACATTTTTGATCGCGAAGATGTGATACGTTTCGAGGACCTGAGCTGCGCGTTTCTGGTAGAAGTTGTGAGTGGCGGTTAGATTTCAGAAGACAATGTACAAACGGTTTGTGGGTGGCGCACAATATTCTTGATGTATAACGTTTTGTTTTCTGCCTTCTATAATTTTCATGGCAGGTTACTAAGCGAAATACAACCACAACGTTGCTGAGATATTTGCAAAACTCTGGACCGCAGGTGTCTATGGTGGGGAACGAACGCGCTATTATCCTTTCCGGGGAGTAACGCGTTCACCACCACACCATGCGGGTCCTTTGTTTCGCACGTCTCTCAGCTATTTCTATCGATC